CCCCCCCCCCCCCGCGCCCCCCATACTGGTGAGGCCCTGCGCTGCAGTGCAGCCAGGAGCCAGGTGGTGCAGTGGTAGGAAGCAGGAAAATGGCTGAGGGTGGGTAGGGCTGAGCTCCTGCCTTCTGACTGCCTCTCAAAGACGACAGAAGCCAGGGGCAGTAGGACCCAGGGGGAGCTGGCAGCAGGAGTAGAGAAGTATTTTCTAAAATTTTAGGGGTCCCGCTGGCTAGATAGATGCCCTGGCAGGCTGGATGCAGCTTGTGGGCCATAGTTTGCCCACCCATGAGCTAATATTAGCTCTGATACCTGTGTCCAGACTGTAGATTTAATCTTCCAACCCACCTGGAGATTTGGGTGAGAAGGTTGGGAGCTTGTTTTGAGGAGGAAGGGAGGCTGTTCTTCCTTTGTATCAGCACAACGTTTTACTGAATGATGCATCTACTACATGAGTTGGGTAATTTGTTGCATGTGTGCATAGGAAGATAAATCTGAGTTGCTTGTTTTGAGACTCAGCCATCCTGTGTATTAGGTTGGTTTTTTTTCTCTGAGGGAATTTATATGCATGTTTTTGTATTGCATTTGTTTAGGTGGAAAAGCTAGACATCCTGAAGAGCAATATACTAATAAGCCTGAAACTGAACCCATTCATCAAATTAAGAATGAACAAGGTAAGAATGCAGAAGTGTTATAATGCGTTCACATTGGACAGCGCTTGTTATTGGTCTTTTAACATTTCTGTTTAAGTCCCTCTTCGTACATGTATAGCAATAATTTTTAAAACCTACTCCCAGCTGGACCCTGGCAAACTAGTCAGTCACCCCAACTGTGACCAGAGAGGTGGTTAGCTGTGGTAGCCTGAAGTCAGGCAGAAGATAGGGCAGGCTAGCACCTTGCCCTGACCTGACAGGCAAGCTGATTGTCTTCCTTAACTCTTACCCTAATCCTGGCAAAATGATTGGCTACCCTGATCTTGACCCTGACTGACTGGCCACCTTTGCCCTCTTTAGTGTAGGCAGTTCAGGTTCAAGGCTCCAGCTGAAGAACAGATAGCAAGTAAAGAAAATGTGTTCTGTTCTATGGCCCAGGAGTTAAGTTTCTATATGTTAGCAGAGAATCCACAGTAAACCAACGTCCTGACAGGAGCAGACCAGCCAGGCATCTAGGATAGGAGGGCTCTGAGCTAATGGCCAGTACTGACCGCTCTAAAGGAACAAGCATACAAAATACTATCTCAGCCCGATGTGCTTATCAGGAAAGTCACTTCCTTGTCCCAGCTGTTAGAGGTCAGCTTATACCCTGAACACCAAGGTTTGTGCTCCTTCTGTTTTATTTTAATTTTTCCTAACATTTGTGAATGTTCTCAGAGTTCCAACAAAGACACAACCTTTACAAAACTCTATAACCCTGATTACTCCTATCCCGTTTTGTTTTTGTTTGCCCCAAGTGATAGATTTATTGGCTTTTCTTATTCTTGTGGCTCCACCCCTCTGTGTAGGAGGATGGAGGAGGCGTTATTACAAGTTTCAATCATCCCACATGGATCAGTTTGTCTTACGTTTGCTACCACCCATGAAAATAAACACAAGCAATTAAACTCCTGATGGGGAACTTCACAAGATAGGCATGTTGCACTGTTATGCTTGACCTCCTTGAGCAGTTCCTTGGTTCGGTAACCCCTAGTATGTCAAGGACGATGACTTATATAGGTCCTGACTCTAACATAGCTCTGACAGGCTACATGTAATGCTGTAAGAAGAATGTATAAAAAAGCCACATTCATGTAGGTGAAACTTAATATCCAATGGGTTTTTTGAGTATGCAAGGTGTTCTTTTTTTACCTTCCTCTCCAGCCATGGATGTTGGCTGCAGCTCAAGCTGGGCAGTTGGCTTGGGTGTGCTGGTACTCCTGGCTGGTAGGTACTGCTCATTCGCTTAGGGTTAAATCCACCTGAGATTTGTGGTTGAGACTGACAATCTGACTTGAGGGAAAATTCCAAGACCCTTGGAAGGGTGGTGGGGAGGTAGGGGCAAGTTTTCCTTCTCTGTAGTATGGAGGTCAGTCTGCCTATTAGGATTCTTTGAGCAGGTTCTGCTTTGGTGGTGCCCTTGCCTGCTTTTCCACAAAGCAGTGCTGGTTCTTCTTTATCATGTATTTTGTGGCTGTAATGCAAGAGGTGGGACAGAGTGAACGTTTTACTGGGTGCTTTGAGATAAATGGTTGCCTGTCAACTCTGGGAGCAGGCCATAGGGGTCCAGGAGTTCACTTTTAGTTCTGTTTTCTAAATGAAGAATCATTTTAAGCCATAGTGAGCCATTTCCCACGTCAGTGAATCAGCTCAATGGAAAACAGCTCTCATGATCTTTAACTTTTGTTAAGTATTTCTAACTTTTTTCCTGAAGTTAATCGTGAGAGAGAAGGGACATGAAGTGGTGTTCCTAGAAGAAATGGCCACTGGGTGATTTGCACTTCTGGGCTCTTGAAGTGTAAAAGCTTTTGAAAGCTTCTTAGGAGGGAGAGTTCTGCTTTCTGCCTGGTGTCTTCACATCCTTATTAGTGTCTTCCAGCTGGTAGAGCTCTGGAGTAGTGATGGGAATGGCTAGGTTCTGTTTTCAGCTCTACCAATGATCTTCGGAGTGACCATAGGCAGGTCCCTTTCCCTTTCCCCATCTCAAGGAGAAGGAGACTTGTCCTCCTTTATAAGGTGCATTTTGAACTGTGAGAGTAGAAGGCTAAGAGCCAAGTCATATTTATAAATGTATTAGCTTTATACGTTGCCCTCCCCAGAAAAGGCTCACTGCAGCTTGCAATAGAAAAACAGATAGTTTATAAAAAAACAGATAAAATATTAAAGTAACATAGGATGCAATAAACAACAAACTCTCGAGTGCCCCAGGACTTAACCTTGCCTGTTAAAAGCTTTCCCAAATAAAAAGATCGTAACACTTTTGGGAGCTATCCGGGCTCAGGTTCTGATGCAGATGCAATTGAGCTTGGTTTATTAGTGACAAAAAACCTATGACCACCGAGTAGCAAGTCAGTTGTCCTGAAGAAATCTTCTATAGCCACACTAAAAACAGCAGCCTGAATGGCAGTTGATTAGGTCTCTTTTCCTCAGCCGCAGAAATGAACACCGAGCCCTAGCACTGCTTGCTGTTGATTACAAACTGCTCATAAGGATCTCTTATTGTAAGAGACTTTTTTTTTTATTGCTTTATATTTATTTATTTATTGGTTTTCATTTTTTACAATTTTTTCTGTATTCTTTTTTGCACCATTTCTTATTACAGATAGTGAGGCTGAAGATGGAAAAACACCTGACAAGTCTGAAGAGGATGCATCAGGTACTGAGACAATGCAGTAAGATACACAGGGAATCCGATTGACTCTCTGCAGAGAAGCACTGCTAAGAACTTTACCAGTTTCACAGTGGGGGTTTAATGCATGTGCTGAGCCTGAGGCGGTGCTGTCTAATGGATAGGACCTGTTGCTGAGATAAGATCTGCAACACAGACACAGGACAAAGATGTGAACTGTTTCTAGATAGTTCCAAAGTTACCTCTTCATCATTGTTAATCCATCCTATCACCAAAATCCCAATTTAGATATAGCATAAGGTTAGCGAAACTGTTGCAATCAAGAGAGGTCATTTCAAGAAGGAACTTTTGTTGTACAGTAAGCCCCAAAAGTGGGGCCTTTCATTACAAGGCCAAGGAGGTTCTCGAGAGATCTGAAATCAGGAGCCTGGACAAAAATCCTGGGAGAGGATTCCAAAGTTGCCTTGCCACTTTACTCTTGACCTGTCACAGGGGCTAAGTGTCACGATAATGCCTTCCACCAGTTCCTGCTGTCTCGTGTCCCCTATGGGGAAATAAGTTTAACCAGGCCTCTTACTTGACTAAGAGGAGAGACAAAGAGAGAGATAGAGAAGAGAAAAAGATGCTGATGCTATGTGTTTCAAAATGTTCTAAGATAAGAAAAAACCTTCATGCCTTGTTTTGTCCTGATATATTAAGCTCTGTGTGCAGATGTTAACCTCCTCCTTTCCCCCGAACCAGAAGCTGATAATGGTTCCCAAAACATAGTGGTTTTTTTTCTGAATAAGTAAACTGCTTATGTGTGACAAACAAATGATCAACTTCTTCCGGTTTCTCTCAAGGTTTCTTTGTCCAAACCCTGCATCGTTTCTCGGTGTCTAAAGGGTAAATATGCTTGTAAACTTGTAGAGGTCAGAGTTCCTGTAAGAACCCTCCTTGTGATCACTTGTATAGCTTTAAATAAACCCAGATGGCTCTGCCAATTCTAATACAACCACAACGCAAAGTTTGATTTCTTCCACACCTGTGTGCTCCCTCCTGCTCACCTGCCATGCCTTGCTCTTGTTTTAAAAATGATTGGGAGGCTGCCCAAAATGCAGGGGGATCTTTTAACAGATAGGCTTTTCTTTGGGGTACCTAGGCCCCAGGTGCTTTAAGAGTCATGGTCTCTGACCTCCCTTACAACTGTGCTCATGCCTCACAGATATTATGGGTTATCATGTAGGTGAGGCACTTGGCCCCACAGCAACACCAGGCTACCTCAGGCCTCCACTCCTTTTTTGGGGGGCCTATGTCTTCCCAGCCCCTTTACTTTAGCTGGTCACTGTGCCTAGGCCCATTGTATTGGACCTGGCTTCCAGGTCCCAGCCCTAATCTCGCCATCTGGCTCTGGTTTCATTTTTCACTTGGGCTTCAGGCCCCTGGCCCTGGTTCCTGGCCCTTTGGGTTATGGCTTTCTCTGGCCTAGGCTTTAACCCTTCCCCATTGCCACTTGTCAGCACCTTGAGCCTTGCCCCTGGCAGAGCTCAAAACAGCTGTATGCCCCTGGGGTACCAGTGTGACCTCCTCCTTCCCTGTTAGTCACTATCCAGTTCACTGGTATTAATCAACATAAAAGGCAAGCAGCTGTTCTCCAACTCAAAACAAAATCCTCCCTGACCAGAGCTAGGGTTACCATGAATCTGAATTTTCCAGATATGTCCTCTTTTTGGGTCCCTCTACCTTCATCTGGGTGTTTTTTTTTTTTAAATATCAACAGATGTCTGGGATTTTGCTCTTCCTCTGCTCTGAGTTCACTGGTATTAATCAACATAAAAGGCAAGCAGCTGTTCTCCAACTCAAAACAAAATCCTCCCTGACCAGAGCTAGGGTTACCATGAATCTGAATTTTCCAGATATGTCCTCTTTTTGGGTCCCTCTACCTTCATCTGGGTGTTTTTTTTTTTTAAATATCAACAGATGTCTGGGATTTTGCTCTTCCTCTGCTCTGCTTCCTTAGCAACAGGATGGGAGCTCTGCAGACACAAGTTACAAAAGACATTACATTATTAACATCTTTATCTGATACCTCATGCAATGAGGGTTCAGATTTTCACCCAATCAGCCATTTTTTAAACTGTTTGCAGCTGTGCACATGTGTTTGGTCACAGCTACAAACCGCTTTCTGTGGCCATATCATGTGAAAATTGTCACTTCTGTCTGCACCTTTAACTAAGGTGTGGCAATATTAACTTAGGTGTAGAGATGACTGACAATGAAGTATTAGAGGTACTGTCAAGATACTCAAGAAGGCTGTGTTTTGTTTTATGAATCTGAATAAGAGATTTAAATTTATCTACAGGACTAACAACACAATATCTTTGTACTATTTTGATTATTTTTTGCCTACTTCATTGTTTTTTAAAACTTAAAATATAATCTAGAGAATTAATACACATTTCAAAAGTTATATTTGTATAACTTTTAGATCTCGTATCTTACACTGAGTAAAATGCACTCCCCCCCCCCCCCCCCCCCCCCCCAGTCTCCTTTTTGTAACTGGAAAGATGCCTAACCAAGGCAATCACTCTCTAAGAGCTCAAAACCAAATGCTGTTGCTTTAAGTCCAGCCTTCCAACTTCTTGGGGAAGCCAGCCGTCCATCTCAGAGCTCTCTCTACATGGCTTTCTGTGTGCTATCTCTCTCTCTGTCTCTCTCTGCCTCTGTCTGTCTCTCTCTGTCCAGGCGGCTGCATTTCCAGCCCATCCCTGCGGTAGGTGGTTTCCTTTTTTTATATTTGTCTGCAGGGTGCCGTCTTCTCTTGGGTGAGTCATCTTTTCCTGTCCTTGGTGTGTGCCCTTAGATCTAATGAGTTACTGGCTCCTACTGAATGCTGTCTGCATTTGCAGTCACCAGCTCTTATTTCTACCGCATCTTATGTGGGGTGGGAGGGGTGGAAAGAAGCTTCTCAGCAGCATTATCCCATCTTTGTAACAGGGAGCTAAAAGGTCCCTGTTATAGCTCCCAAATTCCAATCTGGGTATAGGTGAGGGGAGGATCCCAAAGCTCCCTCAGTAGCACAAGCTGGCAGTACTAAAAGGAGGTAGCATAACAGAAGGGTGGTGTTTCCCCTGCATACTGCATTTCCCCAAGAGATGCATTGACACATCTGAATAGTGGTGGGAACATGGGACTGGAAGTGACCTCCTGGGCCATAGAGTCCAGCCTCCTGCTATTGCAGGCAGCCATGTAAAAAACATAAGAGTGCTCTGTGATGCCTGTTATGTCAGCACAAAGAATGCCTCTGCTCCTAGGCCTCCATCCTTTCAGGCTGCTGCACTGCCCAGGCACTCAATGGTTCCTACTTTATTGTCCCCAGATAACTGGAAGCAGAGGATGTGAGGAGCAGAGGACGTGAGGAAGGGATTGGGATCTACTGAGCTGTGTCCATTCATTGCTGGCTGAATGTTGACCAGGATACTTAGGAGAGAGGAAAGGAGAGCTTAGAGCTCCTGGGTTCATGCTGCAAGGTGTGAAGGCAGAATACTTTTCTTCTTTAAAGGCTAGAGGTTGTGTGGGGGGGTACTGCATCCCAGTTGGACCCTGGAAGTCAGTGGGCTGGTGCATTGCCTTCCCCTTGGGCATCTGTGCAATGTGGCTATAAAACACTCCCATATATCAGAACTTAGCAGTACTGGACACTTACTTTGTAGAGATGTAGGAGGGAACACAAGACATTAAGCAACAGAGAATCAGGTCCACAGATGAGATTAGCCACTCAGGCTTTGCAGGGGGAAGACCACAGTGTCAATGCAAATACCATTATTAATAATGTGTTCTTGTAATGTTAGCATACTGTAAACTTTCCTGTGCTTTTATCAAATGCTATTAACACACTTTTAATTTCATATATACCAGGCTTGGAGAAAAAGATGATTTATCTTCTTTTGTTTTTTAGTTACTTATTTAGATGCATGCTTTGTTGAAATTGAGAAGAATGTTGGGATATCTGCTGTTGTTCGATCAATGACAGTGGTTACAGGTGCTCTGTAATACAGCTTTATTACTCCTATTTTGCTTTAGCATTCTATCCTGTTTTCTTTCATGTTGTGGTTTGAGATGTATGTACTAGTGTTATTGCGATTCACACTTTTCATATACTATCTGGTGGAACTGGTTCCATTTATAAATGGAAAATCTTAACTCTACGGACTCTAGGGTACATCCGCAGATGCAAAGGCATGCATTTCCAGGGGCACAAAAAGCAATGGTGCACATTTGTACCTCTGCTTTGTGCTCCAGGGCACACCCCTGCATGTGTGTTCCAGCACGCACCAAATTATCCCAGGTGGGGTAGGGGAGGCTGGAGCCAGAACCTGTGCTGGCCCCTGCAGCTTTACCTGAGGTCCTGGGAGCCTCCCGAGGCAGCAGCAATGTTGATCTAGTTGCATGGAGCCTGGTTGGCAGCCAGAGCATGGCTATGGATGGCTAGGTTCAGTTTCTGGTAGTTCATGCGGCTGCCTTGTGCACCACAGCGTTTTTGTTTTTGTTTTTTGTTATATTGGGACATCCTGGTACCAAATTTTGGCACCATGGGGCAAATTTACAGTGCGGCACACAGTTGCACATTCACCGCGTGCTGTTTGTGGTGCCGCAAAACACACATGCACATTTGTCTGGATGCACCCTTGGGGTCAAAAAAGGAACACAAAGCTGACAGGAATATCTTATCAAAGACAGTTGGTCATAGAGAAGATTTCAACAGTACAGTTTTTGTTTAGAAAGAATCTTGACTTAAAAAAGTAAGGATGCTCTATACGGGATATTTATGAAAGAGGTTATGATGATCAGTGCCTTATGCCATAAACTGTATCATACTGTGGGCTTTTGTATACTCCTTTGCAAGAAAAGAGCTTTGATTTAAAAGTTGCATAAAGCAGAAATATTAAACTTAATATTAATTCCTTTTATAAAAACTCTCTGAAATCTCCATTCTTCAGAGGCTAAGGAGAACATCCAGGGGAGGGATTTGTCTTGTAAAATCCTTT